ATCCATGCACAAATGCAAATTCAAACGCATTAAAATATCTGCAGTGAGCGAAGCGTAGCGTGTCGTTGAAAAATATTTGTAAAAAAAAAATTTCTTCTATGACCGATTCGTCGACAAATTGGACGATATGTCTGGCTTCATTCCGGGTTAATCAATTTATTTTTAATCTTTTGAGGCAAACAAGATCGGTCGGGGCAGATTTATTTGCCAGATGTCATTTATTCTCTCTCGTGTGATAAATAATTTCTGAGATAAAAATAATTCCTCTCTCGATAACAGTCGACCTGCTCGAAACCGTCGACATTAGGCCCGAATCTCCTCTGTCCACGCGGAGATTCAACCAATTGTTGATCAATCGCGATCGAACCAATTGTTGATCAATCGCGATCGAACCAATTGTTGATCAATCGCGATCGAACCAATTGTTGATCAATCGCGATCGAACCAATTGTTGATGACCTTGACAGATAATCCCCCGGGTGATCCGAATCTCGTTACCTCCGCTAAGCCCAAAAATCCCTTGGAACTTGTTCCCGAAGCCCTTCCGGAACTCTTCAATAAGGAAGGCTGGTTTTCGTATTGTAGCGGGGCGGGGTGGGGCGGGGTGGGGCGGGGAGGACGTGATGGCACTGCATCATTCAGAAGGGCGTATCTGCGATGCACCAGTGGAGCTCTTCCACCAAAAAGGCAAACGATCAGTTAAATACAGACAATAAATAATTCACCCTGCTTTTATGGCCTGCTTGGTGCTTAATTCATATGCCACCGCCCCACCACGCCCCACCCAACCCCACCCCGCCCCACCCAACCCCACTCCGCCCCACCCCGTACCCATTGCTGATGCCCTTCGTAAGCCTTGACATTCCCTCCGATTCAAATGAAATTTTCTCATGTTCCTCAATTAGCTAATTATTAGCAGGACTCACTCTTCGATCTCGTCGTCCTCCTTCTCCTTCTTGGGGGGCACCTTGAGGGGACACCCCCGGGCGGTGACCCCGATGTCCACCTTGAGGTACCCCCTCGGGCCACCTCCGGGGTCGTCGGGGTCCAGCAGCACAGCCCATTTGTGGTGGAACTGGTGCCCTGCGGTTTTTAAAGCATTTTCACTTACAAAACTGTTAAGTTGCTTAATGTCACATCTTTCAGTCGCTCGAGTTCACCGATTGGCTAATTATTAGCTGCTTGCCTGGCGCGTGGTAGACGGTCCAGAGGTCCAGCTTGAAGGTTCCCACGACTGGGCCGGGTCGCAGCCACTTCCGACAGTGGAAAACCTGGGAAAAATGTAAAAATCAGTATTTATAAGAAATAATTAATGCATTTAATTAATGTATAATTCGATTTATTATCCGACAACTTGGAGAAACGGTCGAGAAATACGGAAATGAGCATGAAAGTTACCCGAAAAAAATCCGTGAGACTCACGGTGAGCGTGATGAGTTTGTCGAGGAGTTCCGCCGACGGCAGGTTGAAGTCGAACACGAAATACTGCGGGGAACGGGAATCCGCATGAAAACTTTGCAAAATATTGGCGAATTTATTTATTTTTTTCGCAAACTCACTTCGTCGTAGTAGGGACAGTTCGTGCTCTCGCGAGCGTGGGTGTACTTCTTGTATCCGTCCACCTGGACCTGGAAGAACGCAGGAGTGGGGTCAAGCGAGGTCAAGCGAGGTCAAGCGAGGTCAAGCGAGATCGCGCGAAAAAAATTTCTGTGCAATTTCTGCCTTTTTTACTCTTGACTTTTCGGCTGAGAATTTCGCTCGCGTGTGTCCTCGTAAGGGGTTCAGAAACGTTTGGGCTAGCTTCAATTCAGTTTTTCACACTATTATGGAGTTCAATTTAGGACGCACAGAGCACACTTTAGGACGCACACAGAACGCAATTCATGCCCACATGCAGAACGCAATTTAGGACGCTATTTTGGAACAAAATTTAGGACGCCATTTTGGAACAAAATTTAGGACGCCATTTTGGAACAAAATATAGGACACCATTTTGGAACAAAATTTAGGACGCTATTTTGGAAAAATATTTAGGACGCAGTTCCGAGGCGATATTTCGGATGCAGTTCAATACTAAGCTTGTTGAGCGTTGATGAGTGACACATCCGTGCATTACCTGAACCATGGGATCCATGTTGAGTCCGGCCAGTCTTCTGGCCTCGATGATGGTGATGGAGACCTGGAAGTCTTGCGCCTTCTCCGCTGACGATCCCGTCCATCGCTCCGCGGCCATCCCGTTCTTTCTCCTTCTGGGGGAAATTATTATTATTATTATTATCATGATGATTTTTTTTTCTCGATTTGAGTCTCCTGCGTCAGCTGGGATTGGATTGGTTGTGTACCTGGAGAAAAAAATGTCTGGAGTGGTCTGAGTAGAATAAATTGCCAGTGAGTAAATATTGGCACGGAGAAGAAAAATTGCGACTGAAGAACTTTTTTTTTTTCATCGAGGAGAAACATTTCCAATCAGAAAGAAAATATTATAAAATATGTATTACCGCAAGGCAAGAAATGTAATGTAAAAGTTTATTTAACTTCCCGTTATGAAAGTCAGGTAATGAAGTCACTCCGTGACTTCATTGCCTTCATTTTTTCAAACTTCAATTTTCCTCATATTTTCTCCTTTCGTTTCTCCCATAAGGGGATGAGATTTTCCCCACATTCTTCCTATTCATCTTCTTTTTCTACGGAGAAACGTTCGCAGAGGAAGTTTTTCCAAGGGGAGAGAGAAAACGGAAAGAAAACATCAAACAAAATTGATATTAATTTGATCTAGGTGAAATTTGACTTCAAGCGATTTTTTGCGAGCTGCTTTTCGCAAAACACTCGGGAAAATCGATGAGGATCCGATCCGTGCAATCGCGACTCGGTCCGTCACCCTGAGCTAACGCATATTAATCGGCCTCTGCATCGGCGTCACGCCCGCCTGTGTCGGCGTCACGCCCGCCTGCATCGGCGTCACGCCCGCCTGCATCGGCGCCATGACCAGCCATCTGCGGCCGACCGAAACGAAGCCATGGAACGATTTGTAGACTTTTCGCTGAAACTTAAATGAAAGCCAACCGAGAGGAACCGAACCAACTTGGCTTAAAATATTTCATATTAATAAATTATTTACATAATATATATATTTATTTATTAATGCATGAAAATCTAAAGTCCATTGCGTGGGAGCGGAATGGCTCGCCTATCATCCTTCACTTTGGAGAACTTCATTTTCAGTTTCGCTGGACCGGATAAAAAGGGCTGAAGGCGATCTATCTCGCAAGGACTCTAGCATCGAATGGGGAAAAAAATCTCCGGGGCCATCCACGTGCATTGAAGCTGAACCTCTTTTTGTGCATCTAATCTGAGATTAACCATTTATGCATCTAATTCATTGAAGATCGACCTTCATGTGCATCTAATCTATTGAAGATTGACCTTCATGTGCATCTAATCTATTGAAGATTGACCGTCATGTGCATCTAATCTATTGAAGATTGACCTTCATGTGCATCTAATCTATTGAAGATTGACCGTCATGTGCATCTAATCTATTGAAGATTGACCTTCATGTGCATCTACTGCAGATTAATGGACTCACGGCGTCCTGGACGTCGGGAGCTCCAGCAACAGTTCCTGGTCCGGAGCTGGCCGTGGACGCGGCGCAGGAGGACGCGGCCGAGCCGGGCCGCTGCTGCTCGGCCGCGGGGTCCGCGTCCACCAGCGGCTGCCGCTCCTCCTCCTCGTCCGCGCTCCGGTCGCTGTCCCGCCCTCGCTTGAACATCCACAGCGCCCGAAGCTTCTTCGTGATCACCCTGCGTCCGGCCGAGGGGAAGAGAGCGACAAACTTTAAACATGCTCGTGAATGTTGAAAATATGAAAATAGTTCTGAATATGAATATGTTTGTGAGTGTTCAAATATGTTGTTATCGTGAACAGAGAAATTGTCGCCAAGGCAAAATGCCGCCAGGAAAAAATGCCCCCGCAAGAAAATGGTGAGTTCTGGTGTTTTATAACCTGGAGGTTATGGACTGGAGGTTGAACTAGGAAAGGCATAGGGAGAAAGTTTCCTTCAGGAAAAAGCTGAGTACCAGGTATCAATACATGAATTAATGAATAATATTCGTTCAAATCAGGGGATCACATGAAGATATTCACAAATAAGTCCAAAAATAGGAAATCACAGGACAAATGGAGTTCAATCGCAGAACATTACTGTTGACAACGCGTCCAGCGTCCGACAAAAAAATTGCACAGCAATTAGCAAAATCAGCTGCCATTGTGCTGAGAGCCTCATTCATTCTTTGGTACTTCTTCCCTTTCTTGGTGTGTCATCGACGGAATGATCTTCGAAATAATCCAAAAGAGGATCCAAATCGCGAAAGTCATCGCTGCCGACCAATTCTTCGTAGGCAGCAGCTACTTGGGCGCGTGGAACAAATTAATAATGAATTATTAATTTGGAGTCGAATTCATTTTTAAAACAGGAGGATTAGGGGTGAGGAGGACTTTTAAGAATAAAGAGGAAAATTAATATTTTTTCCTCGGGTTGCTTCCCTCTCCCCTCGCAAAGAACTGTCAAGATTTACTTCAAACCAAATTTCTCGCGGGCCTCTTCGTTTCGAGGTTATCATCATGAAATGGTATACAAAGAATAGACGATAAAAGTGGTATGCGGTAATATCACGGTAATGGCAAGACTTTGGCATATGGGGAAAGGAAATTAAAATCTGAATTTCCACCTTAAGACGGAAGAAAAACAAAACAAATTAATAACAAACAAATAAACAATTAACCGATCAAACTACCAATCAGCCGAGTCAAATGCATTTTTTTTTCTCATTGTGAAAAATGTAATTTCAATTTTCAACTCAATTTTTGGGGACTCCGGGAAGTGTCTTTCGACCTCAATGGGTACATGATTTATCCACTTCTATCACAGCAAAGAGAAAAATGCAAAGTGCACTTTGCTTGCAATTTCCGGGTGATGGGCCTTCCTGTAATTGCAAAACGTGTCCCGAATCGCGAAGGACTGAAAGTCAAGGTCATTCCTTTCATTAAGTCTGGCGTGATTAATTTGCATATATACGGATTTTTAACTCTGCTTCTTCGTTTGGGCAAAAAAATCAGTGCGGAAGTTTGCACATTCATCGATTTTTGCAAACGTGTTCGGCAGTCACCCGCTGAGAGGAAGCTTCAGGTGAAATTCCATCGTGATCTCAAGTTCCAATCATCGGATTTCATGATCTCAAATTCGATCACATCATTTTCCTTGGTGCAATGAGGTCACACTCAGTCGCACTCTCAGTCGCACTCTCAGTCCCACTTAGTCGCACTCTCAGTCGCAGTCGCCTCATAGTCGCGTGAGGCCTTTAAATGCCATCCGAATAATCAGGCTGATGTGGAGAGTTCGGTCACCTCGTTTTATCGATCCTTCCCAAATTTTCCTTCAAAAATCTTCCTTCAAACATTTTCCTTCAAACATCTTCCTTCAAACATTTTCCTTCAAACATCTTCCTTCAAACATTTTCCTTCAAACATCTTCCTTCAAACATTATCTTTCGAAGATCTGGTAAGAAATTTCTGACAGAAATCGACACCTTCGATATCAACGATTGATGAAACTCGATGAAGTTTGATGCACAATCTCGTAACCGTGAACCATGAGATCCATTAGGGACCATTCGATTTAAATGAAGGCCAAGGGTGAGGGCCCAAAACGGCCGTCTCAAGGTCAAGGTTCGTCTTCTCAGGGTCAAGATCAACGGATTTTCTCCACCAAGCGCGGAAGGAAAATTCGAAGATCAGAAGGAAAATCGAGCGGTCAAGGTCAAGATTCGAGGTCTAGCATCAAGGTCACGCTTCAAGGTCTAGTTTCAAGGTCATAGGATGAGGATGAGCAGAGAAAACTTGTGCCGATTTTGAGCGTCTGCAAATCGATGCCGAGAAGAAATCTCTCAGGGCAATTTCGACCGGTTCTCGATTGGCTCGAGTGACATTGGTCGATTGGGATGCTTAGCATGCATCAGGTTGATGATGATGATGATGATGTTATCCATTCAGTCGTGTCCGACTCTTGGCGAGTCTATGGGCTAGTTCTCTCCATGCTGTCCGATCTTGTACCGCAT